TCCAAATTTTTAATGTATGCTTATATGCAATTTATACAATTTCGGTTTTTTGTTAAAATTTACCCCCCACCCTTAAATTCACCCCCTCACCCTCACTTTTGTAAAAAGCGTATTTCAAATACTAGAGACTTGTGCTTTGGCAAGAAAGCTTAGTCGAGACTGCTCGACTACGAAATCCCATGAGCCCTTGGAGCAATAGCTATTTCAATAACTTTTCGCGTCTTTAAGCTTACACAAGAAATACAAACACACGCACACACACGCACGCACACACACACACATACACAAACATTTACACACACATATATACACAGGCATAAAGACGCATGGGCGGTAGTGTGCGCTTACTATGAGAACTCAATTGTTTAATAACTTTTTTGTGGACATACGATCTTCATGAAATTTTCACATTATGATTATAACATGGATATGCATGTATTTCCCAAACACAAGTTTCTATTATTTGAAATACGCTTTTAACAAACATGAAGGTGATGGGGTGAATATAGGGGTGGGGTAAATTTTAACAAAAACCGAAATTGTATAAATTACATATAAGCATACATATAAAGTTTGGAGACTCTGCAATAAAGGTGAAGAAGATATAATTTTATAACTGGTTTTCGATAAGGTTTTTTATCCATAACAAAAAGATCGGAATGAGCTATCGATGATAAACGATAATGATAAACTCGATATCCGCGCTGTAATTACGGACATTTAAAAAAAAAATCTTCTGAAATCGACGCGCTCATACATACGGACAGGTGGACAGACGGACGGACGGACAGACGGGCGGACAGACAGATGTACAGGGCCAAAGTGACTCAGCTCGTCACCCTGATCAAGAATATATATACTTTGTGGGATCTGCCACGCCTCCTTCTGCCTGTTACATACATTTCAACAAAACAATTATACCCTGATTTCCCATTGAAAATGGGTTCAGGAAATAATAATCCTAATAATACCAATAGAGCAACTTTGATTTCTATCAGAAACTAAACGCGGAGTTTGATCATTAATACTAAAGTGTAGGTTGGTACTTTCCAAGTTGTTGTTGCCGGAATCCTATTTTTTAATCAAATGTGACACTTTCCATGTAAATAATTGTTTGTCAACAAATAATACAGAACTTTGAACTTTGCATTAAAATTGAGTACATACATACATATATTGTACAAGAAAATATTATATATAGTCACACTAGTGTTATACTTCCTCTTACAAATTATTATACTTCTCAACTAAAAAATTATTAACAGTTGTAAAGAGAGCATTTATTTACCTGCCAGCCTTGCAGCAATAAACTTCGGTCTACCGCTCTTAGCCACATAACAGCATCCCCAGGATCAAAATTGTTTAATCTATGGCACCGGTAATGTAGAAAAAGACCTAGACATTTTAACAGCTCTGAAGTCGATGCCTAAAAATTTAATCTCAATATAAAAAATGGAAAGTAAAATCTATATTTACTAATCACCTGAATAACAGTTTTACGTGGAATATAATTCTGATTGGTGTTTTTAATTTGAATTGATGATATTTGCAACTGCTGAGGCCGAGTCAAAGCTAGAGGTTGCTTTTGAATTAATTTATTATGATTTGTTATTGAGTTTGTATTATTAACGCTTCCCTGATCTTTTGCTGCCGTTAGTTTTTGCGTTTTAGTAGATGGAAAAAATGGAAGCTCCTGAATGATCTGACTTTGATTACAGTGGGTTTGTTGATGCTCTTCAATATGATTACAATGTAGCTGAATGTTTTTGTTTTTATCCGATGAAGACGAATAAGAAGTTTCCAAAAGCTGAGCCTTAAAGCATGTAGAGGGTAAGTTCGCACACTTATTCTTATTTTCTACTTTTTTTTTATTGTGAGATGTAGATAGTTTTTTCCAAGATAGAGCATTTATAAAGAGTGAATGTTTTTTCAAGTTTTTTTCAATAGAACTTTTTTCTAATATAATAGTTGAATTCTCGTTATGAGCATCCAAATCATTGTTAATTGTATCCTTTGATGAATATGCCAAGTTGTTAAAATTGTGCGAGTTCATCTGTGTGTGCATATTAAATTGTAGGCTCCCACAAGTATTTTGATGTCCAGAGCCATTCCTTGATATTTGATGTGAATGAACTTTTCTATTTTCTCTATTTTTAGCGTTATTTAACTGCTCATAGGAAAAATTATTCAGTTGAGAGTCCACTGATCCAGAATTTTCGTTCGATTTTTGATTTGGAATGTCCGTAGATTGGTTATATGGAAAATTTGGCTGTGATGAGTATACTGGATGCCTATCACGTGGATTGAAACTTAAAACGGTGCCCATTATAGCTAAAATATAAGTACTTCTCTATAAGAATTGCTAGAAAATTATCTTAGAGTTCTCGAAAATATATTAAGTTGAAAATGCTTAACATGGCGTATAAAAACAAGTAATTAATTTTTTATGACTATGAAAAAAAAGTAAATCTTACCTGAATTTTAGTTAAAATACACTCAGTTTATTGATTATCTCTTAAGTGAAAAGCAATAAAATAATTAAACTTATAAAGATTGTAATTAAAAAAGTAAAGCGAAATCGTTGATAATTTAATAATATTTTGTCTTTGCACTCAATATATAATACAAAATCGTTTTTTATATGTCTATGGAAAAACTTTTGACTGAAAATAGTCCGAAATATTTCCTAAATCGATTTATACGCGTATTACATACAATCAACCCCCTTAGTTAAAACAACTGAGCATGCTCGGAAAATTTTTATCACCCTTATTTTTGTTACAGTTACAAACCAACCAAAAAAAAATTTTTTTT